AGACGCGGCTGTGAGTACTGTGTTAGCCTTCGGGTCCTGGAAACCATGCACCGTTGTATCCAAATCTGTCCAATCCCCCTCCTGCGAGACCAACACGGTGCGCTCGCCCACCCAGTACATATAACCAGCGCTCGCACGCGCATTATCCAGAGTTTTAGACGTACCACTCGCGGGAGCCCTTGCCGTAAGTCCTAGGGCGGGAGTACCAGACCGACTCGTGAGACATGATGTGTGGTTGAGGGTTTTGACGGGGGTTGTCGTTTGCTGCCTTAGTATTAGCAAATTATCGCTACAGTAATTCCTGTCGCAGCTTCAAAAGGTATACGCACAGTATTGACTTGTGTCGTCGGCGGAGATCAATCGGGCGTGCGTAGGCTTGTCGGTTCACAATGGTGGGATTGCGGATTTCGAATGTTGTGTGGGTTGGCCTGTGCGTACGCTAATTTGACGGCGCAGCTCATCGCGACTGGTCGCTGTGCCAAGACATCGACACAATCTACGGTTTTTGTGATAAGATGCCAAATGCGGTAGTTTAACTAGTGAAAAGCGGGGTCATGGAGCATGGCGGGATCTGGAATTGGATGCTGTAACGCCGCATAGCGGCTTGCTGCTTGTACATGTGCGATTTTGTGCTCTCTCGGTCGGTCAACCAGCTATGGCACCATCACACGTTTGCATTCTCAGAGTCGAGAACGTTCTAATAAAGCAATTTCATTATCTCGAAAGCGAAATTTAATCGCCTCATAGAACATCATACAGAGGAAGCGTTAGGAAAGCCGCCTGCAATGGCTAACGCCGGAGCGCCATGCTTGGCTGTACTACACAGCGAACGAATCGATGAAGAAACATCAGACATCTGCCACTGGATATAACCTCGCCGTAAACATGCGTAAGAAGTGACGAAGTAAACAACGAGAAACCCCCACTCAGATCACAATACCTCTCACAACAGCTCACTCAATCCCCAAGGATACTCTCCTCATCGTCGCCATTGGGCTGCTTCTCCGGCTCCTCGCCGTTCTCACTGCTCTGTTGTTCAACACCGTTGGTCTGCTCGGCGTCGTCATCACCATCAACCATTTCCTCATCCTCGATCTCGTCACCTGGAACCTCGTGTTCTGGCTCCTGGCCCTCCTCATCTTCCTCGTCGCTATCGAGTTCTACAACTTCTGCACTCTTGGCCGATTTGGCATCCGACTTGTTCGGCTTTGCACTGCTCTTCTTGGCAACTTTGCGCTGCTTGACGACGTCAAGATGGTTCACGATTTCCTTCCAGGTGGGTGTGAGCTTCATCTTGTTGCGCTCAAGACGCTTGCGTACGGTGCCTGACCCGTCATTATCAAGGGCGCCGACGAGTACGGCGTGAACGATGCGGCCACCGAATGCGTCAAGCGATTGCTCTGCCAAGGCGGCACGTACTCGCTTCTCGGAAATGCCAGACTCGTCTGCAGCGTCTTCTTCGTCACTCTCAGGATCATCGTCTGGATCGATAGGATCATCATCAATGTCTGGCTCTTCAAGGCGCTTGTTGGTGAGCTTAGCCAAGTGGTTTTCCCAAGCCGTGAGGATTTGTAGGATGAGTTTCGTGGTGTTGCCATCGATATCCTGGCAGAGAGCTTCCCAATCATCGTGGGTTGAGTTTGAGGCGCGACCTTGTGTTTTCTTCGGTGTCTTCACGACCTTGCCGTTGTTCTTCTTGACCCGGAGTGTGCAGAACATAGTGTAGATGTCTAGCAAGAGGTTCGCAGCGTTGAGTCGTACTTCATCTGTGCCTTTTCGGCTCTCCATGATGCTCATCAATGTTGTGATGCAGGTATCTCTTCGCTCGACTAGGGACATGAGTTCGTCTTCTGGCATGCTGGTGCCCTCCTCGACATGCGTGGTGCAATCTCTGCACTTCCACATGAAGTACATGAGCATGACCGACATAGCATGGCGGACAAGGGTGTCGTCTGCCTCCTCAATCTCTGCGTCTAGATCCTCGACTGGCACTCCGCGCTCGAGTATCTGCAACACTGAGTCAATAGGCGGTGATGTCAGGGCGGCCTTCTTGCCCCTGCCTTTTGTTTTTGGTGGAGCGGGAAGCTGATCAAGCACAGAAGCGTCTGAGACCGTTACTAGCTGCGCTATCTTCAGTACCACATTGGATACGCCGCGGAGGATATTCTGATCGAGATTACCTCGCACGGAAAGATCCTTGTCTCGTCGAAGAGCATCGAACGTGTTGGTCAAGTCATCCCATAGCGCTTGCACCTTGAGATCGACGGTCTCTCGTAACTCTTCACTGCCTTGGGCATGTAAGATTGACTTGATAGCCTCTCCGAGAACACGCTCGTTGTGATGAGTGAGGAATTGCTTGTTGATGTCGTCGAGCAGGGCAGTAAGAGCTGCGTTCTGTCGCAATTCTTCGAACACGTCCAGATTTAGCTCGCGTTCTATTTGAAGGCACAGTGCTGCTGTTTCAGGCAGAGCACCAAACTTCTTGAGGAGCTGAGGAATCAGCAGTGAAAGCCGCCGAGCCATATCTGACTGGTCTTCCATATCGCTCTCGCGCTGCGTCTTGGTCTTTTTCTTATCCTTCTGTGCCTCCGCCATGCGCTGCAGTTTGCTACTGACCACTGCACTCAGAATGTCTAGGAGGATGGTCTCGTGCTTCTCTTCGAGTTGACATGTTTGACGAAGAACGATTTCAGGGTCGTCGCTCTCATCCTGGTCAGTCTGAGAATGGTCGTAGAGAAGATAGCCAGCCACGACCTCCCACGATCGAATTTCCGGAATCACATCATATAATGCTTGTGCAGCGAGCGAGCGGCGTGACTCCACACCAGAGGCAATCAAAAGCAACTCAGTGCCTGGCGACATGCGTTGAATCTGTGAAGGCAACTCAGCTTCATCTTCATCGTACGAGAGTAACTGGTCGACAAGACACTTCAGCTTCAACCATTCAAGTCGTGGATTGTGGTACTCTTCTTCTTCATCATCAGGTGGTGCCAGGGCTTCGTTAAGAGCCTCTTCACCACCCATCTCCTCGACAGTAGCCTCGTATGCGGCGTTGACGTTCTCGGCGAAGAAGCCTACCACAGCCTTGCGGACTTTTGCGTCGGAATCGAAGATGAGCTTGCCAACCGAATCGATATCGTCAGGCTCCAGGAAGCCAGCCTCTCGGAGTATGTCGAGCAGGTCGACTGCTGCAGCACGCACATTGATCTCAGCGTCTTGTGTGGCCATCTCGACGATACGTGGTCGAAAGCGTTCGGTGAAAGTCTTGAGCCCGGCCAGTTTACTCTCGTCTTTGAACAAGCGCGCGAGCTGGTGGAGAACCTCTATCCGTGTTGATGGAATTGGGTCCGAAAGCACCCAACCCAGATAGCGAAGTTTGGTGCCATCGAAAAATTTGTCGGGGTATGTGATGATCCAGTCTGCTAGGGCTACCACACTGTCTACCCTGATCCTGGGATCCACATCACGGTACCGATGCACATAGACGGCCGCAAACCAGTCGTCCAGCTGACTGCCTACAAATTCCAGCTTTTGGTTGTACTCTTCAATCTCATGATCCGCCGCAGAGACACGGGCTTTGTTGACTCTCGATTTCTTGGCTTCCGCTTCGCTTTGGCGAACACGCTTGGCTGTGTTCTCGACAAGGTCAGCAGCAACTTGTGCCAATGCGGTCGTGATGGCTAACGAAGCAACGGTGCTGGTGTGACGGAAGGGACGATTGCCGGTAGAAGACATGGCGCCCAGCCACACTGAGATGTTCTCGATGAGCTCGGCGCTCTCGTACAAGAGGCCTGACTGCGCTACGGTTTGTATCAGAGTAACGAAGAAGCCGTGTAGCGCGTTTCTGAAAGCTTGACCGCCGCCGTCTTTCGCCTTTGCGATCAGCGGATACTCTGTGACTTCGTACTGCGATGGTTAGCATATAGAAGGCTATACAACACAGGCCAATGCCTACCTGCTGGAACTCTTCCTGGATCTCGGCCACGCGATTTGGCGCGTTGTCGGGGTCTGATATGTCGTCCTCGTTTATCCGCAGATCGCATCCGGAAGCTTGCAGCACTAAGTTGACGACCTCAGCTAGAGCCTTTGCCTCGTGCTCGTTGAACCGAGAGATCCATTGTGCAGTGACATCTTCGAGTCGGTCTCCGCTGGCAAACACGTCGGCTATTGCGCGTTAGTTTGTGCATGTTCCCGGCGTACCCGCACACCTACCATATAGTCCTTCCGTCTCATCGGGCAGCGCGCTCTTGCGTATAGGTGCCTTTCGTGGGCGCTTGGACACTTTCTTGGTCGCATTGTTGGCGGGTCGGATGGCCAGACTGACGCTGTCGCCATTCGTCTTGGCCTTTTTGGATGCAGGCTTGCGCGCAGTTGCCTTGGCCTTCTTCCTGCGCCTGCGCTCCCTCAATTCCTCCTCATCTGGTTCGCCCTCGCTGCTTTCCTCAGACTCTTCCTCAGATGGCGGCTCAGTCGCGTCGACCCCGCTGTCATTGTCGTCGCCGCGCTTTCGCTTGGTGCTGCCGGTTGGACTTGCGCCTGGCGCGAATCTGGCAGGTTTCTTGGATACGCGTCCGGATTTGCGTCGCGCGGCAGAAGATGCGACTTGGTCAGCCCCCGAGGGCGATTCGGCCGCGCTCATGATGTTTGCGCGCGATTGTTCAGTTGATGGTTCCAGAGGTTGGGGGGCAAAAGCGCGGCGCGATTGGTATGCTTGGAGGCGGGGACGGTGATGGGAGACGCGTTGTATGTCCGAGCACTTTTAGTGCAAGGTTGCGCGCACGTGCGTATGACACTACGCCATCGACGTGTCGCCTCTGGCCTGCATTCACCTGACGCCACTTTACTAGTCCCTGATGATCGGCTATATGGCAGACTTATATAGTTCACTTGGTCGAAATTAGTTCTCGGCTAACATATGTTGCATTATCGGATCAGTCCGTCTATGGGTCTATACGTATATACAGTAGCAAAGCAACCATTCATGGTGGCACAACATGCGCTCAGGCAGCAGCCTTGACCGGCTCGCCCTCTTTGATGTCCAACTTTTCAACACCTTCAACAAGCTCCGCACCCCCGTTGGGTGCGGTACTGGCACCCTCGACTGTTGTAGGAGGCTGGGTAGCCTCTACTGCAGTGTCAGTGGCTGTTCCACTTGCAAGGCTGGGCTCATCACCTCCCCAGAGGTATATCTCGCTCTCTCCGATTATCTTGCCAGCCTTCTCCCATCGCTCCTTCCTTTGTTGTCTCCGCTCATTGGTGAGCTTCTCTAGTGCTGGCCAGTAGACAGAGTGGTCGTACTTAAAGTCGACTTCACCGCCAGAGACCTTCATGAGCTGAGATGCAGGTACATGGTTGGGCAGAGGCTCGTTGGGCTTAATCTTGGACTTGGTGACGGGATCGATAAACGGGTTCACGAGCTTGAGGAAGGCATTGACATACCAAGGGACTGTTTGTGTTGTTAGTATTGCTCTTAGAGAAAAGCAGGAGGACGCTTACGGTGTGTGAGTAATGCCCGGCCAAGTCGCTCTGGATAGTGATTCTGCAGGATATCGAGGACCTGTTTGGCGGTGGCCAAGCTAGGGGTACCACCAGCTCCAGTGTTCCTGAAGTCGATCAACAATGCCAGACTCTCTTGACCAGGCGGGTGCATGTCGATGGTGCGCTCAAGCATGTAGACCAAGTGCTCTACCCGCTTAGGCGTCTCCTTGGTGTTCTGGTTCTGAGGCAGCAGGTACAAGCATGGCCTTCCCTCGTTATCGAAACCAAGCAAGACCTGCTTGCCGGTTGCATTCTCTTCTGAGATGTATTCGGCGGTGAATTTGTCGGTGCCGTACTCGCGACGCCATATCAGTGTCCCGCGCAGACGCTGGGTGGCTTGAGGAAGGTTCCACTTTGTCGCGCGAAGGTATCGAAGGAGACATTCACGGGTGAGCCAGATACGCTCATCGTCGCTGATTGGTGATTCTTCGGCACCCTTTGCTGAAGTTGTGGGCAGAGTTTCCCATGTCCGGACATCGGCGAGAAGCTGGTCGTATTTGGTTTGTTGGTCGGCGGTCAAGGCAGGAGCGGCTGCAGGTTTGCAGCCTGGTGCAGGCTCTGCGAAGGGGCCAATGGCAGACATGATGTCGAGTTTTGGATTTGATCTATGGAATTGACTTTGTCCGTGTCTGTTATCCAAGAATTTTAAAAGACCTCCTTGTTGCGGCGTAGGAGTATCGGTCAGCCTGGGAACTTTTGGGGAACAAGGCGGTCCCTGCATGTACGTCGATCGCCCTAGGCCTTCTTTATGCTAGCCCCACACCGACACGCGCGACGCGTCTTCTGAGTTTCCACGCGCAAAGTGCTTTCACCGTCATCATCCCAGAACATCGACAAACACACACAGAATGGACGACCTCACCACAGAGCTTACCGAGCGCTTCGAGCGCTACTGCGACATGAAGGGGGATCAATTCCCCGCTGACGTCCTCGCTGAATTACAATCGATGTCGCGGTTATATTCCATCTCACCCGAGGAACTGGACTTCAAATGGCAGGCGTACAACATGAAGATGGGTGGAGAAGAGAACAAGATGGATGTGAAGACAGCACGGGACTTCAAGAAAACCATACAAGATGCATTGGAACGCGAAAGCAGAGGGAAGGCACAGCAAAGAAATGAACCCAAGCGGGGTCAGCCAACACCAAGAGCGAAGGGTGGGGACATGTATGACATGTACGTTCGAAGCAGTCATGACCCGAATAAATACCTGAGCTGACTGGAGATAGGCTAGAGGGACTCGTACCAGGCACACCACATCGGCCCGCACCCAGTGGCGCCAATGGAAGTACAGTAAAACGCAAAGCCAATTTCAACACACCAGGAGGCAAGGCCACCAAGGCACATGAGATGAGTACTCCTGGTGGTGGCATGACACCAAAAGCTGAAACCCCAAGTGGACCGTACGTATTCCAGTTACACTGTGTAGACATGCTCTAACATTCAGTCAGTGTCTTTGACTTTGCTTCCCGTACCAATGCGAACGACATCACCGAGCAGTTTGTGCAAGGCGACATTCCCATTCCAGAACCACCATCGGAAGAACCGAAGGAACCCCGCATCAAACTCAAGGCCAACACAGACATGTCCAAGTTCTCATATCGCACCATGGCCATGAAGCTGTCGGAAGCGTCTGAGGTCTTGGATGATAGGATCGACGAATTCCGTGATCTTCTCAGGGACACCACAGGTCTGGACGAAAGTGCATTCGGAAACCCAAACTACCCGTCTCCGAGCGAGATTATCGCAGTAGGGAGGATAGCAAACGATACGAGCGAAGGCAGGCTCAATACAGCTTCAATCGTACTCGAAGGCTCCCGGAGACATGGCTCAGGGCGCCGTGTACCGCTGAACGTGGAGGGGCTATCGTCATACGATTTCTTTCCCGGTCAGATTGTTGCTCTGCGTGGCACTAACGCTTCAGGAGACTCATTTGTAGTTTCTGAAGTCCTCCCCCTTCCACTTCTGAACCCACCAGCCACGAAACCCGAAGAGCTAGATGTCATCAACGCGCGATACCTCGATACCCCAGATTCTGATCCTGACAACGTCCGACCTCTGACCATCATGATTGCTTCTGGCCCCTACACTACTGATCAGAATCTCGACTTTGCGCCGTTGCACACCTTTCTTGACAATGCTGCCGAAGCATATGCAGATGCCATCATCCTGGTAGGCCCATTCCTCGATGCTGAGCATCCTCAAATTCGGTCAGGAGACTTTGATGTACCACCAAACGCAAGCCCAGACCAGGCCACCATGACGGATCTGTTCCGATACCATGTCTCCAGCGCTATTCAGAACTTCAACAAACGTGTACCAACCTGCCAGGTTCTTCTGGTTCCTAGCTTACGAGATGCACATCACCACCATGCTGCATTTCCCCAAGACAAGTTCATCAAAAAGGAGCTCGGCCTGGGTGCTGCAGGAAAGATGGTTCAATGTGTCACCAACCCAATGACTGTCAGTATGAATGAGATGACCGTGGGTATGTCCTCGATCGATATCCTAGATATGCTGCGTAGAGAAGAGCTAGCAGGCGGCAAGGCACGAACAACCAACATCTACGAACGATGCGCCCGCAACGTTATCGAGCAGCGAAGTTTTCTGCCTCTGTTCCCGCCAACTGGAAGGGAGAAGCAGCAATTCATGCCAGCACCAATTGAGGAAAAGGTCATGAAAAGTAATGCAGCGAACGGTGAGCAGAAAGAGGGCGAAGAACCAGAATTGGACCAAGCACCGAGCCCATTCCTTCCTCTGGGCACCATGCTCGATACAAGCTATCTTAAGCTGGGTGAGATGCTGAATGTACGACCTGACATACTCATCACCCCTAGTGTGCTTCAAGGCACAGTCAAGGTATGTTCGGTGGTTCAATCTACTTTAAAGCGACATGCTAATCTCGAATAGGTTGTGGAGTCGGTACTTGTCATCAATCCTGGTACCTTGGCTAAACGCCGTGCGGCAGGAACATATGCCCGCGTTATTGTTCAGCCTGCTGTTGTCAGTGAACCAGAAAGGGAGAAAGGGTTTGCAGTTGCACATAAGCTCTGGGAACGGACGCGTGTTGATATTGTGAGGATTTAGGTGTTTGGTACTGAGCATTGGAGGTGTCTGGCGTTTTCTAGTAGCGAACAGTGGGAAAATTGCATGCCTGCAGGGACACCTGGAGCGTATGAATGTGACTTCGGGATGATGAATGTAACATGTCAGCAGTATAGATTAGCATTTTGGTGCTCCAATCAAAGAACTCACAAATGGCACTTTCCGATATCTAAGTCCGAACGTGGAAGGCGCATAGTCACGGTTGTTATGTTTGATGTTTGTAGTGAAGACAAGAACACATGATGCCGCGTCACTTTTGTGATTTGGGTGCTAGCTTGATGAGCCCACGGTACTCCGTGTCACTTCTTCGCGCCTCCCTCATCGATTCGACTCAGAGCCTGACTGGGTCCACGTCCTCATTCAGAGCTCACCATAGATTTTGGAGAATTTGAATTGGCACAAACAGATTCACTGCGAACATTCAACCTGCTTTGGGAACACACTAGCTGTGTCCCCTCGCGCACGTCGCAGCATCGCTTCCAGTGAGAGCAAGCAGCTTTGTTATGGTATTTGGTGACCTGATACGTCGGTTTCTCTGTTGCAGCAAGCGCACAGATATAAAGGAAACGCACGAGCTTCCTAGTCGACCAAAGCAGAATTCGCTCGTCCCCAGCACTTCGAGTCACAGTCCTCAATACCTCGCTGCACCACAACGACATATACACGACTCAGCCGGCGGCCTCAAAGAATACGACCCCGAATCCTCGATGGCGCCTAAGCGTAAGTCTACAGAAGCCACCGCCGAGTTGGATAGTCCAGTGAAGAAGACGAGGTCTACAAAAAAAGAAGGTAAGCAGTCAAGTTCTCCTCTCATTCATTACTATTCCAGTCCCTGCTTCTGGAGCGACGCACGTCAAGTTGCAGAGCTAGCTTGTCGCCGCGGCCTTAATTCCGGGGCTTGGATGCACGAACAAGGGTGGAGTTGACTCGGCGGGGTCGGCTTTACAAGTGCTGCCTCGTCGGTCGGTGCGTCACATCTCGCCCAAGTTGTCGCCAACAAAGAGATTGCTCACGACGGTTCTGTGAGAATAAAGCGCGCAACCAGGATCTACACTCACTCAGCGTGCTTTGAACCTCTCTCACTATTGCACCATCTGCCTCTCGCCTACTTTCGCCCCCCAGCTTACTCGACCCGCCTGCAACCCCGCGGTTTCTGCTCACCTCGAACTTTCGACCAACCAACCAACACCTGCGATCTGGCATACAGCGCTAACACAAAATGCCTACAGTCTACTCTTCTCAGCAAAAGGCTGCGATTCAGCAATTCATCAGCTTCACTAATCTCGACCGGAACACCGCGATAAGGGCACTGAAGAGCCATGGCTGGGATGCGCAGAATGCCGTAAACGCGTAAGTACTGCTTTTTCTTTTGTTCCGAATATATACACAGCACTATCATTATACCTTTGTCGTATATGTGGGCACGGTGAATCCGTGGGCTACTCGAACGATCTCGATCTATCGACCGACCGACCGACCAACACCTGGACACATAGCAAGTATACTTGCAAACACATACTGGGAAGGAGCAAATTGATACGCGTGGATACGGCTGTAGTAACAGGATGCTGGAGGGAGAAGCAGGAAGTCGCAGCCGCAGCCGCATGCAGGCCATGGCTGGCTGTTGGGTCGGGAGCAGCTGCGCTCTGCGAGGATGCAACAACATCCAGAGGCTCCTGCTCAGAGAGTCATTCGCTTTCCCGGCATGGACCTGTTGCTATTTCTTCTACAAAGCTCCTGCGCCGGCATTTGTTCTTCGACCGTATCCTCCAGCCCACAACAAATCCCTTAACGAGCTTCTTGTCTGTTGCGCCAATAGACTACCGCCCCACCGACTATCCAACATCGAGCCAGGTCAGCGCCATCATCATAGCCCGTCATGTTCGGTTCCTCGCAGGATAGAGCCAGACAACTGGCTGGGCGTAATCGACGAGAGAGGATCAGCTCGATCAGCTCATGTTCCAGCTCTCACTCCATGAGTCTATCCAATCGACCGTCTCAGCGGCGAGATCCCCCACCCGCAGGAGTATGCACGGTCGAATCGACCACAGCTGTCGATGAGCCTACCGCTTGTGACGACAGTGATGCTTCCATCAAACATATCGTCAAAAATGGAGTTCATGCAGTCAATGATGTTCCTATACTACTTTCTGTACCACAACTGGCGAATGGTGTAGAGGCTTCGCACTCAGAGCAACATCGAATTCGAGCAGAACACCTGAGTCAGGTGCTGCATCACAACCTTACTCTCGCGAACGTAACCGATGTATCGGAAAGTGAGTTCACTTTACGTCGTCACACCCGGTACGGTAGTCTAGGAACGCATACAGACACTCTGCAACACTTGCGCAGCATCACGACTCCCGTTCCGCCTACACACCTGGCGAACTCTCCACCTGAGAGTTTGTTGGCGATATTGGACATCAATGGGGCGACTTCCCTCCACGCCTCCGCTTCTGATCGTCAACTGAGGTCACAATCAACTATGTCGCTTCGGGGTGGTTCAGGCTACGACCGTCAAGGGCGACGGAAACCAAACTGGCAGCTTGCCTTAGAAGAGATCATCAGGGACGACAATGCTTGGCTCCGAATGAATCCTGGGCAAAGCTTGCAGAGTCGGTACGATACGCAGACATATATCAACCTTGGACCACGACCCATCCCACTGCGTAGAACAAGCCCGGTTTTGATTTATATAATGCCAACCGCCAACTCATGCAATATATCATCAGAGGCTGACCATTTACACAGTTACTACAGCGGCAACAGCGGCGGCGGTGCGCAAGCTTCATCCGCAGCAAAGGCAAACCTGACCAAGCTCTTCGATCGGTACCAAGAGGCTGGCGCACCCGACAAGGATATTGTTGGCGTAGAGGGTACCATGCGGTACTTCGAGGAAACGGGCGTCGATGCCGAAGGTCTAGAGGCGTTGGCTGCTCTTGAGATTGTGCAGGCGCCCACTATGGGCGAAATGAGCCGCGATGGCTTCGTCAAGGGTTGGTCAGAACGCAGGTGAGTGACACGGCTGCAACTATCTACTTCCACATTACTATGTATCTGACCCATGCAGCTGCGATACCGTCGACAAGCAGAAGGCGTACCTGAAAAATGTCAAGAGCGAGCTGCCTGACAACAAAGAGCTCTTTACACGCATCTACAAATACACATTCACCATTGCGAAACCCACAGATCAGAGAGCTGTTCCACTCGAGATGGCCGCCGTATATTGGGAGTTGCTCTTCAGCTCACCCCTGTCGGCAGTCAAGTGGTCGAGCCCCAATACGCCATGGTTGAGCTGGTGGATCGAGTTCCTCAACACATCGTGGAAGAAGAGCGTCAACAAGGACATGTGGAACGAGACGCTCAAGTTTGCACAGCTCTCACTAGCCGATGAGTCGATGAGCTTCTGGAACGAGGAGTCTTCATGGCCTTCCGTCATCGACGACTTTGTCGAGTTTGTCAAGAAGGACAAGCGCGGTGGTACGGATGAGCAGCCGATGGACGAAGACGAATTGTGATTTGGACTCAGGACTTCCTATGCCTACTAGCGGGGAGTTATGGTAGATGGCATTTTTTTTTCTTGCTCATCAGAAGGCGGCTTTACACTTGATGCATGGTTACGATAATTCATGGGAGCATTACATACATACCCCTTGGCCAGATTTATGGCGCTTCGATAAGAGCATCTTCTAGTAAATAGACTAGCTCAGCATGAGTAATTCAGAGGCTGAGCGCCATCTGCGTTCTGTCGTGCACATGAAGTGATTGTATGAAGAAGATTGAAGGTGATCACCCTGGTTAGGCAAAGCGACAAGATCTAGCTAGTTACAAGATGTATCTATCTGCTGTGGGTCCAAGATACTTTCCAGATTCAGGGCACAGGCAGAAGCAGGACGTTTGCAATTCTCCGTTGATGCATACGGGACTTTCCAACTGCGACGTTCTTAGCCACGCGACAGTGCTTCACCTGCGCTCGCCGAGAATTTTGATGGTCGTTGCGCCTCTTGGTGTGGCTAGGGCCACGGCGTAAGCGAGCTGCACTAGCGTCTTCCACTGTGGTGCGGCGCCTTCGCAAAATCCATCAACGCCAACTTTTGACGACACCCCACGACAACTAACCACACAGCAGTCAAAGTGCGTATACCTCGAGGAATGCTGCTGTAGCTCTACTGACCGCAGCCAGATGGTCGCCGCTAAGAAGCATGTCCCGATCGTGAAGAAGCGTACGCCGAATCTACCTCCATGACCTCGAAAACTCGCGACTGACGTACCGTATAGACCGCAAGCGGTTCAACCGCCACCAGTCGGACCGCTTCATGTGTAAGAGACACCGGCGCTGGGAATGAAAAGATGGGAATCTGACAATGGACAGGCGTTGACCCCTCATGGCGCAAGCCTAAGGGTATCGACAACCGCGTCCGCAGGCGGTTCAAGGGCCAGGCTGCTATGCCCAAGGTACGGACTACCTACTACCCGGATTGAGGAGGATGACTGTCACCGACAGAACGATGGGCGCGACACGACATGTTTGATGGAAAAAGGCTGACGGAACGCCTCACAGATCGGATACGGCTCCAACAGGAAGACCCGCCACATGATGCCCTCCGGCCACAAGGCTTTCGTTGTCAACAACGTCGCCGATGTTGACCTTCTCCTCATGCACAACGCCACCTTCGCCGCAGAGTACGTGCACCAAGTCTCCCGTCGCTCAAGCAAGGCACTAACAGCTCCTCAGGATCGCCCACGCTGTATCAGCACGAAAGCGCATCGAAATCATCGCCAGGGCGAAGCAGATCGGTGTCAAGGTTACCAACGGCAAGGCCCGCGTTAAGACCGAGTCGTAGATGGGTGCGGATTTTTACTTTGGGGCGGGGCATACAAGGCGTCTCTCTGATTAGTTACGATCTCAATGGGAAGGCTTTCCATCCTCTTCGGCTCACAGTACCCCTCGACTACGGTATGGGAAGAGGCATGCACTTCAAAAAGCATTGCGACATGTTACTGCGGAATGACCAAAGATATCAAGGGACACGAGCAGTAGGAATGCAATGAAAAAACGAGCCAAATCAGGATTCCTCGAATGACGTAGGATTTGTGATATGCTGCTTTTTGGCGCGTTTGGCTATCTGTATTGCTTCGTCGATGTTGCAACCCAACCCAACCCAACTCAACTGCCGGCCGCGCAGGGTCAAGCAGTTGTTTTGCGATATCATCCGCAAGGTACATTGTATGCTGCATGGTGCTCTGCGCCAAGCATCGAATGCGCACGTCAATCAGGCTGATCTTCATCACATGCTAAACAGCAGGTGATGCCAGGTTTAACGAGATGACGACTTCCCGCGTTGGTTGTTGCCCAACCTTGACAACCATCGACCTTTCTATCGCTGTAAGCACTGATGTCATGTTGCTCATAGTGAATATGTAGTTTTTGGATGTAGGATGCGGTCTGATGTGACAATGGGATCACGTAGCGATCAAGTACCTCTTGTCGACATTCCGTGACAGCGAGTTTTTCGAAAACACCAAGTTTTGAAGCAGCTGTACCGGGTTACTATATGGATGATGACAGGTGCAGACATATATTCAATTCAGGGTAACACAAGATCGGACTTGACGTTACTCATCGAGCATGATGCATATGCTTCTTGTTGGACGGAGTGTTGTGTTGGCGGCTATTTCAGTGCAATGCTTGAGATGCCTAATCATCGACCCACCTGAACGGCGAACTTCCCCATGCGCACACCACCTCACGCTGAGATTATCTATAGCTCGCTACGGAATCACATGCATCCGTAAGCCGTCTTTGAAATCCTCAGCCTTACCTACTCACCGCCATCATATTTTGATGAGATGGCATGTCGATAAGGAGTGTGATAGTAAAGCCGTACGAGTCAACACAGGGGCAAGCGCAAGAGCCATGGTTGCTTCTTGGCGCGTGTCGCACGTACGCTGGGTGCAGCCGAGTAGGAAGCAAGTGAGGCGTCGCGTGGGCTCAGAGGTAAGCTGGTATTTGTCGCGTGGTAGTGGCAGGGTTTGTGCTGTCTGTTTGCTTTGGTCTGGCATGGGTGGGTGGAGATGTGTCGTGTTTCACGGAGCAGGACGGAGTTGGAGAATCGGCGCGAATCCGATGGTGAGAAAGTAGCTAAAGTACGGGGAAGGGCAGGTCGGGAAAGTTGTAATTGCGACGCTGAATCTTGGAACTTGGAACCTTATTGAGCCCTGACGCTTTCAGTCAGATTGACGAGATGTTTCGAAGCTGGCTAGAAGGCTGTCTCTGTCGCGGAATATTCCAGACTGCTGCCATTGGTGGTCCGACCGTCGAGTTTTTTCGTCGTTTTGTCGTTTTGTCGCGGTTCCTGGTTCCATTCATGGATGTGTTGAGCGACTCGCTAACGGCTACGCTTACGGAACTTCCGCGCACGATCTAGTAACGCTTGCCGGTCCACTCAGTTCCTTTCTCATCCGCACACCTCAACCCAGCATCACACCGCTCTGAAGCTGCCATCTGTCTGTGCCTGCCCTTGCAATTTCACACACTCAGGCGTCTGCTGGAAACAATCGCCCTTTGTGCGTCGCGTTATCAGGCATTATCCGTCCACGGGTGGCTGCAAGACGCGGTGATTGGCCCATGGCTGCACTTTATCAACGGATGTGGGTTGCTGCGAGGGAGGTACGGATGCGGAGCCTGGCATGCGACCACGACAATCAGCGGATCCGTGTGGGCGCAGGAGAGGAAAGAACCGGGAACGTGTACAGCTGAGAATAGCTGATTGAGGCAGTGTGCCATGACGAATGCTTTGATGAGGCCCGTTTTCCCTGATGAGAGGGTCCGATACGCTCGGAGGCGACGTACGACCTCGCATTGGCATATGAGGTCTGACTATTTCTCCCCCGGTCCATGGCCCACACTTGTACCCACGGTAGGTCGAAGCGCATCCCAATTTCCCTTCCGTCAGCCTGGGAAAGATTTTCAGACCCAGCACTAAACTAGCTCCCGTCTTTTAAATATTTCGACACCCCAGCTGTCTTTGTTTCGAGGATTCTATCTCCCTTTCACGCGCTGCTCAGTGAATCACGTCTCGTCGAAGGCTTGCCGCGCTCCTCATAGCGACCACAGTCGTGCATCTGCACGCAGTGACCGGCGGTCTTCGGCTAGTCACATTCAATTTTCGTTGTCACGATACCGGATCTTCAACCTCGCCTACGGACCAAGCAGAATCTCTGAGCATCCCACATCGCCACTGACGATCACCATCCACGTGCTTTACTTCGACGACAGATCCTGTGCAAGGACTTTCCTCTCCAACCATTTCCAAGTACTATCAAAATGGCACCCAACCTCTTCGTAGCCACTCAAAAGGCCTTTGCGCCGCACAAATGGTTCAAATCAAACAAGATCGATCAGTCAAGGGTCGTTGAAGAATGGTCCAGTCCAGTACCCGGACAGTACGAGAGCATCCCCGGTCGAGGCTGGTTCCTGATCGCAACTCTCAAGGACGAATCCAAACCAGAAAGCAACCCCAAGCCATCTGTAAAGTCGTCAAACGGCAAGGAATACACTCCACTGGACCAACCTGTTCCACTCAAGTACTCTCATGCCATCGGCCGTTACTTCCTGGAGCCTGAGTTCAACAAGCGAAAGAAGACCGTCATGGTCAAGAACGACAAAGGCAAAGAAGTCAAGGCCGGTTTCTTCCGGGTTGACGACGTGGCTTGGGTCAGATGCTGGGACGAAAACGACACTTTCATCCCTGGTAACGCAAACGGCGCTGCGGGTTATCAACGGTGGGTTCTCGATCAGCAGACCCAACAGTTTCGTCACATGATCAAGCGCGATGACCCCAACTACGTCCGGTCTCGAAAGAACTCCCCCGCTCGCGATGCCGACAACCGCAGCCAAGAGTCCGTCAGCACTGAGTACCGCACTAGCCGTCCTGGTAGTACCAAGAACGGCTTCAGCGTTGCTAGCACCCGGGCCAATAGCGTTCGCTATCAGCCTCCAACTCCAACTTCGAACCCAGGAAGCCAACGCCCGTCGCGACAAAGCAGTCCCAAGCGCAGCGACAGTATACCTCTTGAAGAGGCCAAGATCGCGCTCCGACGCTTGGCTCGGGAACACGAAGAAGCCGCAGCCGCCTTGGCCCGATCCCGCATGAAGCGCTCCGACTCTTCCAAGGATCGTGTCGAGCAAATCGAGACCCGCGGTCGTGTTTCGGAGCGAGTCGGCAGCTAAACTAAAAGTGTTTTATCCCCTTTTGCGTCTGGCATGTTCGACGTGCATGGCGTTCGGGTATCTTCCAACGTGGGGTTTGGTGTTTAACACGTGGCTGTGTCCGTTGCTTCACGGCTGCCACGTCTCTAGAGTCTTGTAATCCTTTTTAGAGTTTACGTCTTCCCTTTTTACGGCCTCAGATTTAGCGAATATGGGTTTTCGGTAACGGGCTAGGCGGTGTTCAGTTCTGGGCTTCTTCTTCTTCTTTCAACATGTCTTGCACTTCTTCTGTAACGGCGCAATACTACAAGGGCATCATAGCACGGTATACCCAAATATGGTTTGTAGGCCCCATGAGCGGCTCTTGTTGTCAAGCGAATATACTCTGGGTTCTGTACGCGTAGCGTAACAATTGTATCTTTCTCTCAACCGTTTGCGTTTTCCTCCACGTCACCATATCAGTGACTGCTGTACACATGATGTTTGCCACTTTTTCGCACGTATAGGGTGGATGTGGGAATCTTCACACATTTTCTCTGTTTTTGTATTCTCATTTCCCTGCTTCCTGAAAATCATTCGGGATATTGTTGTTCAACAGAGCTCATCAGTCACAACAACGACGCTTCCATTAGGCGCGTTGCTTCAAGTATACTACGTGGCTTCACGCCTTTTTGTCTTCTCTTGAAGAGTGTGCCATACTTGACTGGCTTCTCTTTCTCTACATAAAGTCATTGTATTCCAGCAGTTTTCTTTGCATATTCTCTTCCTCTTGCCATATTAAGCTCAACACTTTGACAGCCACGAACTCAATACTTCAACCTAATACCTCTCCTCTGCGAGAAGCACGTTCTATACTTGCTCAGACGCCTTTCTTCTACTTACATTTCGGCCTGCCTACTAGAAATCACTGACCTACTCCTGGGAGAGGATTATGACACAACCATCGCCCCCACCGCCTGCGAACCATCACAGCGGCCATAACAACAACAATGACCCAATCCAACTCGATCGGACTGTCCCGACCCACTTACGTCCTACACAGATGCACCCTGACAACCTCCGCGACCTCTATGAACTCATCGCTGCAGCCAAGCACGTGGTTGATTGCTGTGGCGTGTATACCCCTCGACTACGAGAAGCATTATCTCACGAACTCATGACGGCGAAAACTCGGATTGCAGAAGTCCAAGGAATAGAGGAAGACCTTAAGCAAGACATTATCACACTGAGAGATGAAAACACGATGCTAAAGGGGAAAGATGAGACGTTGTCTGAAGAGAATGCGGCGCGGGATGGAGATCTTGATGCTGGAGGAAATGTGATGCAGGTGCTCGTAGATGAGGTGTCTCTGAAAAAAGACGATATGCAAGAGAATGAGCATGAGGCAGCTGGTCGCTATTTCGAGGGTGGATGGGAAGATATGGCGAAGTTTTGGCAAGATGGTATGCCTATGGATCATGCCTCAGAGCCAGAAACCGAAAACCGACTTGCAGATGCGAATCTTTCACACATGGCATATTGGTTCGAGCGTAGCAACGCGCCTAGCCCCGAGCAGCGACAGCCACGACACAACGACAGAGAAACACTACGGCAGATCGAAACGGAGAGGTCCATCCTCAAGCTCCAGGACCGCTTAGAGAGAACGGAGATGCAGATTAAGCATCTGACAAACCGACTCGATGCCCAAGAAACAGAGTGGAAGCTGGCTGTTGAGAGCATACCGGTATTGCTTGGGGCAATCTATAGCGACCAAGAAGAAGAAAAAGACGACGACGATGACGATGAGCCGTACTATACATGTAGTGAAGGCTTGGACGAGTTTGAAAGCGTAGATGAGAACATGCCGTTAAGAGGTGGTATGGGTGGCCGGGACGAAGACGAAGAGTTTGTGTACGACTATGGAGGGTACACAAATTGGGATCAGGCGGATTTACTGGCGCAGGGCGAATTTCCGAGTATTAATGACAAGGATGAGATTATCCAGGAGTTGAGACAAAAGGTTGAACGATTAGAGGCGCAGATTCGAACGCTCACGGTAGCGGCGCACCGAGAGGATCTCTTCCAACCAACCGGTTCCCATATAACGGCCAAGGACGGCGACAGTAAAGCAGCGAATATTCCCAAGCAAACTCCTTCTAACCCGATCTTGACGCCCATTTTCTATCAAAAGAACAAGGGAGACATAAATATCAACTTACGTGGCGGCAGTGACGAAGCAGAATGTGAAGGCAATGGCAGTTGCGATCATGCTAGCGCTGAAGTTCGTAGCTCCATGTCAGTATCACCGCATCTCCTTTGCCAGCGAGCCACGTCACGAGTCGGAGATTCGACGATCAACTACATCATCGTATACCTGCCTCCAGGGTTCATCGTTCCCGGTTGCACGAAACCCGAGCTAGTCTTTCACAGCGCCGCGACAATTTATTATTTCCCCACAGGAGCAGCAGAAGAAGTCGTGCAACAGGAAGCATGGAAGCAGAAAGGTTGTGGTGATGGGCAATGGCAGGATGTGGAGCTCCACAAGATACAGTCAAAGCAAGTGTTCAAGAAAGCGATTGCAGATATGTGGGAAAAGATGGGACTTAGTTGGGATATTCTGACACGGAGATACTGGGACTTTGGTGAAAAGAAGGATGATGGAGACATGTATATGGTCAACGACAACAACCTCTTTCTTATGAACCGCACACGGGAGGTAGCTGTTCCACATATCCGTGGCGGAGCCGGCGATGAACCAATCCAGACCCCATGGCCTACCGACGAAGATGACTTATTAGATGAGTTTAAGCGTATCTACGATAGCCTCATGGAAGAAGCTAGGATCGCTCTCATGACAGATTCTCCGGAACAACGCGTACAAGCTTGGATGACCGTGGCCACAGCGGCCGAAACGCGCAATTCCTCTCTCGAACGCGAACTTGAGACCTTTCGGGAGATGAACGATAGCCTCATTCAAGATCTACAGTGGCATATGAATGTACAAGTGGACTTGGAAGAGCAGCTCGAGGCTGCAGAAGCAGACAAGAGGGCTATGGCTGACGAGTACCAGAACCTTAGGACACTTCTTCATCATCTAGTGGCGGATAGTGATATCTCTGTCGCTTGTACCTGTGGGGAAGAAACAATTCCAGCTTACGAGGATCGCAATAGGTCACCGGGTCTGGAAACGATACGAGGTGGTGACGAGGAAGCATTGCTACAAACAAGACCGACGAGTGATGCTGAGACCGGACAGAATGCGGCAACAACAGCGCCATCTGATTCTTCTTATTCGAGCACTGTTACTACAGCCAACTCTTTCGTCTATTACCCACAAAGATCTACGATCGTCTTTTCCGATACTCCTCCACGTATCTACCTATTTTCCTACAACTCCACATTACCAGAGATCCACGAGATGCTCAAAAAGGGGAGTGAAAGAGAAGATCTCCGAGATGATCCGCACGTTGCGCGCATCCTGGAAATTATAAAGATCCGTGAAGATATGGGTATTTATCTACCTGAAGATGTGAGCGATGAGCGAATCACTATTGATATACCAGAAATTCTTACAGGGTGCCAACTGGATTGCAAGACGAGAATAATTGCGTGGCAGGTGTCGAACGCAGATGCGGGAAGCCTTGAGAAGCCCATAGAAAAGCATGATTTTGAATCGAGTGCAGAAAGGTCGAACGATGATACCCGGACTAACAGTACGTCGAGCGAAGGAGAGAAGGACTATTACCAAGACATTGGGGACTTGGTGAACTCGTTTGATGATCCAGTCGATACCGACAATACGATCGACTGGCTAAGATCCTGCGCATGCCAGACCCGTTCCGTGTACGGTAGCGAGTCGTACTATAAGATTCCCCATCCGCAATCATCAACTATCTCTGAGCCATCACCTATGGTATCGGTCCGTGGCGGTGGTAGTGATCCAGAATATTGGTCTCACACTTCACATAGCCACCAAAAGTCTCCGCTCTGTCACCCACAGCTGACTCCTCCGTCAAGCGCACCTCCGAACACCCCAGCGTCTTACGGCACTATTGAGCCACCGCCTTGTCGCGTACTCAAAGGTGAAGAGATCGCCATTGGAAAAGGACCATTGAGCCTACGACTTGGCCGTTTCATGTTCCCTCCCAAATTCATGCAACAGCGTGAAGATGATATCCGTCGCTTTGACTGGCAACATATCAGGAGACTGAGCCCTCAGTTCAAGGACAAAAGCTCCAGAGGTTTCAGGTACACTAAAAGTGCACACTGTGAGGAGTGGGCTACACAGTTAGATAAACATCGAGAACATTGCGAATATTGCCAAGGAGTCTTTCTTGAAGAAGAGTATGCCTCTAGTGACCAGAGTCTTAGGCATGAAGAGGAGGCTCCGAAGCCGAAGAGCGGAGCTCGTAGACCATGGAAGAAGAGCAATTTGCCGCAGAAGAGCGTCGTCGCATCTGTGAGCGCTATTGTAGAGGATCCCGATCCGCGGTTGAGGGGTGGTGCTGGTAGCGAGGCAGATCTTGAATACGACAGCGAGGACTGGCGATGTGAGTGGGATGATCTGGCCAGCCAAACGCGAAGCGCAGGCTACCGGCTTCGTGCTTTCCGCAACTCTAGTACTCTTTCCACAGAGACAGTAAAACCCCCTCCTTCGCCTGTTGATCGCGCCGTCACGTTACGTCGCTGGCCTCAGCAGTCCGACCTGTGTACTGCCATGGAGTTTATAAGGGACGGACCCACTGTCTCGAAGCTTGAAAAAATGCATATGAATATATCAGAAGCACGTGCAGGTAAGTTGCTCCTTTCGCCGCACTACATTGGTTCTGACAACCTGACTGGATCAAAGACTAGACACCCAGTGTTACTAGAGACAAGAGCAGCAAAGGGCGGATTAGTTCGAGAGAGGCCGTTCACGAGACCCCGACGCCTTCAACATGGAACTTCTGAGGGTGTGTTTGTTCCAGAAAGCGACAGCGTGTTAGATCTCAGAGCTGAGAGTTGGTTGGAGAATCCTCGGCCAGCTCCGCCTCCGCCATTCT